ATCTGTGAAAACCTTGTCAAGAATGTTATCTCCTCTCGTCGGTAAGGTGACTATTTGTTTAAGTAGGAGATTGTTGCACAGTGGAGAGGTATCAAGATCATTGAAGTCACCCAAGATGATCGAGTAGCTATTAGGGTGTTGCGTCTTAATAGTATCGAATGAGAAAATCAACTTGTCAATTATACGCTGTTCAAAAACTCTTCCAGACTGGGGAGGATAATAAACCACAGCAATGAAGATAACGTGTTTTCGTGATACCGTCAATTTTAACCAAAGAATCTCAAAATCTGGGTCATGCAGGAACTCAATTGTTTCAGTTTTGATGTCAGAACGAATATACGCAGCAACACCACCCCCCACACGTCCAATTCTATCATTACGAAATAAGTCATAGCCTGGTATATCTAGTGAACCAGAAGGAATGTTATCTTGGAGCCAAGTTTCGGTGATAACAGCCATATCACATTTATTCACTATCAGTGAACTGTTTAAATCATCAATTTTGTTCTTCATAGAGCGTACATTGGAGAGTAGAATGGTTGGTAATGGCAATTGAGTGGAGTTAGTTATGTGAATTGGATGCAGGTTACAAGGAAACTTTCGATAGTGAGATTGGCTCAAACACTGTCTGTGACGTGATGTAATTTGCACTTGAATATTACGTTGTATCTTTCGACCGCTTCTACACCCACGTACCTTGTAAACACCACATTCTTTTGCTGCTCTAACCATGGAAGGGGAGGGTTTCACTTTGTGCTTTCGTAGCTTGTAGAGATCCGCAGTGCTATACGTGATCCTCGTTGGCGTACGAAGCGCATCCACGGATGAAGGTTTGACGGGCATGGTGCGATCCATGGCGAGTTCGCCAATCTCCAACGCGTACGTTGAGTGACATACATGCACGAATGCTATGTATATCCAGCACACCAGTGCAAAAGAGAGGAGGCAAAATCGTCGATTCAGGTTGCAATATACCATGACTGTGTCTAAAAACTATTGAAGTAATGTCCAAAACTAATGAAGTAGTAATGAGTTCACAATAAAAGCCAAACTAAAGTAGAAAGCAATGAAAAAAAAGGAAAAACAAAAATTAAAGAGCTGACAAAATTAAAAGCTCACGGCTGCTGCAGAGCGCCCTCAAAATCATCTGTTGTCTGATAGATATGAAAACAACATACATTTTTATATGAGTTTTATCCCGGTCAAAAGGGGATAAGTCACATATCTTGGCAAAAAAGATACATGTCTATCTGTAAAATATAATTATTCCATGCATACACATGCATATATCGGATATATAGAGGCCTTGTTTTAGGTACCCATCCCCTATTGACCGGGACCATCATCTGTTGTCTGATAGATATGAATGCAACAAACATTTTGATATGCCTTTTATCCCGGTCAAAAGGGAATAAGTCACATATCTTATTTAAAAAGATACATGTCTCTCTTTTAAAATATAATTATTCCATACAAATGCATATATCGGATATATGGGCCCTCTTTTAGGTACCCATCCCCTATTGACCGAGACCATCATCTGTTGTCTGATAGATATGAATGCAACAAACATTTTGATATGACTTTTATCCCAGTCAAAAGGGGATAAGTCACATATCTTATCCAATTAAGATACAGGTATCTATGGCACATCATAATTCCATACACATGCATATATCGAATATATGGGCCTTTTTTAGATACCCATCCCCTATTGACCGGGACCATCATCTGTTGTCTGATAGATATGAATACAACAAACATTTTTATATGACTTTTATCCCGGTCAAAAGGGGATAAGTCACATATCTTATTTAAAAAGATACATGTCTCTCTTTTAAAATATAATTATTCCATACAAATGCATATATCGGATATATAGGCCTATTTTAGGTACCCATCCCCTATTGACCGGGACCATCATCTGTTGTCTGATAGATATGAATGCAACAAACATTTTGATATGACTTTTATCCCGGTCAAAAGGGGATAAGTCACATATCTTATCCAATTAAGATACATGTCTCTCTTTTAAAATATAATTATTCCATACAAATGCATTATGGGCCTATTTTAGGTACCCATCCCCTATTGACAGGGACCATCATCTGTTGTCTGATAGATATGAATGCAAAAAACATTTTGATATGACTTTTATCCCGGTCAAAAGGGGATAAGTCACATATCCTTTTTAAAAAGATACATGTCTCTCTTTTAAAATATAATTATTCCATACAAATGCATTATGGGCCTATTTTAGGTACCCATCCCCTATTGACCGGGACCATCATCTGTTGTCTGATAGATATGAATGCAACAAACATTTTGATATGACTTTTATCCCGGTCAAAAGGGGATAAGTCACATATCTTATCCAATTAAGATACAGGTATCTGTAGCACATCTTAATTCCATACATATGCATATATCGGATATATAGGCCTTTTTTAGATACCCATCCCCTATTGATCGGGACCATCATCTGTTGTCTGATAGATATGAATGCAACAAACATTTTGATATGACTTTTATCCCGGTCAAAAGGGGATAAGTCACATATCTTGGCAAAAAAGATACATGTCTATCTGTAAAATATAATTATTCCATACACATGCATATATCGGATATATGGGCCTTTTTTAGGTACCCATCCCCTATTGACCGGGACCAGCATCTGTTGTCTGATAGATATGAATAAACAAACATTTTGATATGACTTTTATCCTGGTCAAAAGGGGATAAGTCACATATCTTATCAAAAAAGATACATGACTCTCTTTAAACATTCCATTAACATGCATATATCGGATATATGGGCCTTTTTTAGATACCCATCCCCTATTGACCGGGACCTTCATCTGTTGTCTGATAGATATGAATGCAACAAACATTTTGATATGACTTTTATCCCGGTCAAAAGGGGATAAGTCACATCTTATCAAAAAAGATACATGTCTCTCTTTAATATATAATTATTCCATACACATGCATATATCGGATATAGGGGCCCTTTATAAGGTACCCATCCCCTATTGACCGGGAACATCATTTGTTGTCTGATAGATATGAACTCAACAAACATTTTTATATGACTTTTATCCGGGTCAAAAGAGGATAAGTCGCATAACAAAGGGAAATATTGGATGGAGGACACCTCACGGCTTTGGCATAGCTGTGGGGAGGCGGGTGGCGACACATGGCCCTGAATATTTGTCTTTTTTAAGTAGGTTTATTTTTCCTTTCATCTTTGATAATTATATATAGATTTCCCCCGCTCCTGTGGTGACGGAAGAAAGGAAGTAAAGCATAATTCCATCGTAATTTGTCCTCCTTGTTGGAAATCTTGCCCCACCACCCTGTCCACGACTGATCTCATCCAGTCTAAGCCACTGAGATACTAAGTAGACCAAGCAGGCCCATTATCAAAGTTATTTAAGGACTGCATGAGTTTGCAATTAGTTTGTTTTCGGTGTTAGGAAAGTTTCATGAAATCAAAATTGTGGATAAATCAAGTTAGGTTTATTAATTATGATTACTAGTATCCTGAGGGGTGATAATTCATGGAAAATTAAAATATTGAAACTCTTCATTGGCTGAAATTGAAGAGCTTCTGGATGCCTGGATATGGCTAAGGCTATATCTCCTTTGGCAAGATGTCTCTATATATAATTCTCAAAGGTATAAAGTAAAATATACCTTTAAAAAGTCTTTATACAGGGGACGCCATCGTTCGCATAATGCCTTACGGTCACCTTGATGGTAACGATGCTACACTCCCATCACCCCCTCCCCCTCAAAAAATTGCATGAGGAAGAAGAAAAGAAGGGGGTATCAGTTGCAACTTTCCCGCCAACAATATATGACTTATCCCCTTTTGACCGGGATAAAAGTCATATAAATATGTTTGCTGTATTCATATCTATCAGACAACAGAGGGTGGTCCCGGTCAATAGGGGATGGGTACCTTAAAAAAGGCCCATATATCCGATATATGCATGTGTATGGAATAATTATTTCTTAAAGAGAGACATGTATCTTTTTAAATAAGATATATGACTTATCCCCTTTTGACCGGGATAAAAGTCATATCAAAATGTTTGTTGTATTCATATCTATCAGACAACAGATGATGGTCCTGGTCAATAGGGGATGGGTACCTAAAAAGGGCCCCGTTATCCGATATATGCATGTGTATGGAATAATTCTATTTTAAAGAGAGACATGTATCTTTTTAAATAAGATATATGACTTATCCCCTTTTGACCGGGATAAAAGTCATATCAAAATGTTTGTTGTATTCATATCTATCAGACAACAGATGATGGTCCCGGTCAATAGGGGATGGGTACCTAAAAAAAGGCTCATATATCCGATATATGCATGTGTATGGAATAAATATATTTTAAAGAGAAACATGTATCTTTTTTAAAAAGATATGTGACTTATCCCCTTTTGACCGGGATAAAAGTCATATCAAAATGTTTGTTGTATTCATATCTATCAGACACAGGCTTACATCAGATGTGTTTATGTGCATTGAATTGTGATATTTTGAACATCCGAAAATCCGAATATCAAACTGGCTCGATATTCGCACTTTGAATATCGAATATCGAATATCGAATATCTTTCTAACTTCACTCCGGTAGCTCGACTGCTGTCTCAGCATTCTTCCAGTATTTGCGGTAAAGGTAAAGGTAAAGTGTCACATAGAGACTAGCCTAGACCGAAAATGTTGTCTCTTTCGTTCGTTGGCGTCTGATTTGAGTAGAGATGAGAGGCCTAGTAGTAGGGGCAAAAAGCGCCAGTGTTTGAAAACGAGGCTGAGGCCGGTTGAACGTAAAGCACATGCGCGGAGATGTAAGCTTTGTAAGCTTTACTATGTGCTACATAAATAACAGGACAATGTTTTTAAATCAATGTTAACAATATCTGTACTAGTATAAACTTACTATTTATTAATTGAATTTATTACTTACAAATGTTATTCTTCAAATTAGTAACCAATCCGATCGATGTGACCAAAATTCGTATGCAACTGGAGGGGGAGCTCAACTCTGCGAATGCTAGGTCGGCTTACCAGCAGAGATACTACAAGGGAATAATCAGAGGAGCGTTGACTATCGCCAAGGACGAAGGAATCAGAGGATTGTATAAAGGGTCAGATATATAATCCTTTCCTTGCACTTGGAGTGTTAACGAAACCATAATATCATCTGTTTGGAGCCAGAAGGGTGTTAACTCGTATATATTAAAATAGAGTTGCCTCCCTTCTGGCTCTGAACAGACAACTAGTTTATTGACATCCCAATCACACCTGTCATGCATGTGTTTATTTAATATGATATGTTTCTCTTGGATCATTGGATGTCAGCAAATTTTTATGATATTTTTATGAGACGCTACCTTTCATATCTTTGATCCTTACTTTTTACCACTAAATATCAACTATTGTTATATACGCATTTATAAGAATATAATTTTACACATTTACAAGAATAGAACAGTGTGATATATTCAAGAGTGTCAAGACTGAATCGAATGTTTAAGTGATGAAATCAATCATACAGTGCATTAATTGTGTCATTGTTAACCCTGTGTACAGTGCATACATTTCCTGAAACTGATATTTACTCTTCATTTTAGAACCATTCAGTAGATTACAAGGCATAAGTAAGACTGTAAATCACTCGTTATCAAGTCCAGTTTATTGTTCACTCATCCGAAAATGACATCAGAAAGAAACATGGATGCAATTTTCAATGTGTACAGTACGAGGTACACAGTTTGCCAGCATTACAATACAGTACATTTTCTTTCTATAATTATGAGCATTCTGATGGAGATTATAGAGGAGTATCGAAGTTCAGAATTATTTAATTTTTTTCATGGAAGTTGGTTATTTGATAAATGAATGAGCTCTAAGATCAGTCATAAATTTCATATCTTGCATTCTTTCTCTTGCAGAATCACTCCAGCTCTGGTAAGAGAAGCCAGTTACAGCTCCATCAGGATCGGTGCTTATGAACCTATCAAGCGTCTCTTTGGTGCTACAGACCCAGCCCATACACCACTCTACAAGAAAATTGCATCCGGGGCTACATCAGGTATGATATCTCACACATCAAGATTCTACGCCTCTGATTTGTCAAAACATCAGGCATGAAACTTATTACCAACTGCTAGGCAGTTTATCGAAGAAAATAATGACTGGGCTAAGTTAAACTTGGGCATACACTGTTAGGATATGGTAGATGCACATTAAGACACATGCACTACTCTTCAGTAAATTATACTTCAAATTAATACATTTTGACAATGACAGGCACTTTTTTCCATAAAATTCCTTCTTCAGTCAAATATTGATTGCACATTTTTGTGGTCACTGTTAAAACTATAGCTCCTTGATGATCTTGAACACGGTGTTTTAAAAGTGCTAATCCTGCCTGATATAATAGGGCTTTGGTTGTGTAAGTGAGATTTCTGAGATTTCAGTCTCCTGCCTGCCAACCCATTGAAAGGTAATGAATATGCAATTTTCTGCACCACTAACATTTTCAATAGTAAATTTTCATACCAATAAAACCTACATGGGAAGGACACACTATGAACATGACGGACAATGAAAGAGGACAAAATATACAGTTCCTCAGGTAGACAAAGGAACATCCCTTCACTGCTATTATGTAAAAATCAGTAAAAACAGGTGAATATGCATGTGACACCTGTTCTACACATTTTTACATAATAGCAGTGAAGGGATGTTCCTTTGTCTACCTGAGGAACTGTATATTTTTTCCTCGTTGTGCGTCATGTTCGTAGTGACAAGAGACTGAGCAAAGAAGTGACATAACCCTGGATGGCCAAATCATTGGTGGGGTTGGAGTTGGTTTAATACATTTTGGTCCCTGTGACATTCGACCACTTAATCTAATGATTATCTGTGCCTTTGGTTGTGTTAGGTGCACTAGGCAGTTGGATAGCAACCCCAACAGACCTGATACGAGTTAGACTCCAAGCAGAGGCCAAACTAGAGCAAGGACAGCAGCCAAGGTACAGGGGCTTCCTGCATGCTTTCACTGATATAGCTAAAGCTGAAGGTCTGAGAGGGCTATACAGGGGTACCATCCCCACAGTGCAGAGGGCCATGATTCTTACTGCTGCTCAGGTATAGTAAGACCTTCCTTGAGAAGATTATGTTGCATTCGCTCTGAGGCTTAATTCCTCAAAGATACAGGGTTAAGATGAGTGTGGTTTCAGGTTTGGTTCAGGGTTACAATTTTGGTTGTGTCTTGTGTTTGGTCCACAGTTTATAGTTTGAAATTGAGGGTCAAATGATAATTTATAATTTTGCATGCTTTTTACCTGCTATGTATGAAAATCACTTACTGTCATCAAGTCGAAATTCATCAATTTGTAATAGGCAAACGTAGGACCTCTATTTTTCAATATGTTCATTTGAGGGGAAAGACATTTGTCATGGCAGCAATTACGACTACTGCAAATGGTGTATATCAATGTTGGCATAGTGGGCCGACGAAATGATGCTTAATTGGATGAGAACCTCATTTTTTAAATAAAGCTATTTCATTAGTGCTATTTGTTACAATAGTATAACGTCTTGTTACAGGGGGAGGGGCATGGCATTTAATAGAACAGGTTTTTTTTTTTTTTATAGATTGTTCAGATTTTCACATTAAACCTAGATCTGTTCTAAAGATACATTCTTCCTATCTTTTCTACTGCCACCATGCTAACTAATTCTATTACTCTCTACAAACAAAGGTTCCGACATACGATCACACCAAGCACACCATGCTGAACCTAGGTTTGATGGAAGAGGGCTTGAAGTTACACATCTTCTCGTCCATGGTAGCCGGTTTTGTTGCAGCGCTAGCGACTTCACCAGTGGATGTCATCAAAACAAGGGTGATGAACCAGAAAATTAAAGGTAGGCTGAACAAAAAATGAAAGGATTTATAATGACAATGCTTTGTGTTTTTTTAAATTTAATCTTTGTTCCTCTGTAATTACTTTCTTTGAAGTCTGTAGTCTGTAGTTTGGTATGCCCCAAAACACAATTTCAGTCAGTGATTAGAAAGATATGATTCTGTACTACTGCGGAGGGTGGTGCTCTTTCAATTCTTTGGTCTCTCTTTGTACGGTGTTAAAACTATCATACAAGATGTGGAAGTATGTTATAGACTTGATATTTTATTCTAATTTACCTTTGTCTTTTGCTTTGTTTTTCCTGTCAATATCAAGGTGTTCACAGACAAACCAAATTGCAGCACATAAATGCTGTAAAGATCCTTACCTCTCTAATATTGGCTACTGATTCTGTGTTTCATTTTTAAACATACCTCCTATTTCCTACATTTTTGTTTTCTTTGCATAGATCTTCCAGTAGAAAAGCGTGCATACAAGGGCTCTCTTGATTGTTTCTTAAAGACAGTAAAGTCAGAAGGTTTATACGGTCTCTACAAAGGTTTCTTTCCAAACTGGCTGAGGATAGGACCACATACCATCATCAGTTTCATCTTATTTGAACAGCTAAGAAGGTTAGCTGGTATAGACCCCATTTAACATAGGCATGCATTGTAGGTAGTCAGAATATAAATATAGATAGAAATAATATGCCTGCTCAGAGCCAGAAGGGCTTTAACTCATACAGAGTTATTTTTTAAAGAAAATGCCCATAAGGAGACTTAGGATTTTAGAGAAATTCATAGCAACATATAACCTACAAGGGATATTTTCAATAAAATGCAGCATTTCTAAATTGTTTGTAACTGAGTACTATTAGAGTCAGAGGTCAAAGGTATAGAATAGAGTTGAAGATGTTTATTAAATGCCTAATGGTAATGGGGAGTTTATTGTAAAGCATGGTGCAGAAAAGTAACTTTGCTTGTACTTCTTGGGTAACTAATTGATAACATGGTTTCATTACTTCTTTTTCTTTTTACTTTCTTTTTCTTCTCCTTCTTCTCTTCTATCTGTTACACTATTTACCTCAAAAGGGTGGCTTTGACTAAGTCTTTCAATGCATTATTTAAAGATTCATTTTGAAATGCTACTAAACATGCATACCTGTACTGTTCATGATGGGACAAAGCAAAAGTTTTGTGCAAAACATCAAGGCCTGAAATAGGTTTTTGATCGTACAAACTGTACAAATTACACTGTGTGGTAATATATCATGAATTTATTTTTGAAATAACAGTAATGTATTACAGGCAAACTTTAACCTTATGCAAAAGAATAGGAAGCAAGTTATAGACTTTATATTTTTGTATATAAAGAAAGATGTTGTTTATATTGAGTGCTCCCAAACATATTGTAGTTTGGATAAATATTTTGGAATCATGAATTGAAAATGAATTGAAAATGAATATGTCTTGCATTTAAAATATGTTTTTAGTACATTGACATTTGTGTATTGTAGAGGTGTTATGGTCCAGTGGATAATTCTCTGGACTATATACCACAAGGTACGGGTTTCAAATCCCTGCCACAGCTCTAACATTCTTTGGCAAGACGTTAGATCTGCATTTGCCACATTCCACCCAGGTGAGGTAAATGGGTACACAGTAGGATTATTGTTTGAAATGCACTGTAAGCTGATAACGACTGGCGGAGCTAAAGCTAGGATAATAATTTCCAATGCTCTTTGGAAACGCATAGGGATGTTTTAATGTGATGTGTGCTATACCAGAACTACCTATTGAATAATCTGTTGACATATATATATATTCAATGCAATTTAACCGATGATGAGAATAACTTATCAATTACACTAATATTTATTGCAAGACGGTTTAATCAAAACTACCAAGAAGTGGAAGTGCACATAGCATCTATATTAATTTTGTCTATTCAATTTAATCATCCACATTCTAAATACATTCTCAATCAATCATGGTATTAACATCATCTCACAATTCTAGTAGTAAATAAAATGTTCATTTTTTGCTCTTCAAATAAAATGGCATTACCTTTGTATCACAGCATTTCCTGTTTCTATTCTACCTCTAACTTTCCTTTGATAAAAAAACCCAACTGTTATGTCATTGACAGTTGGGGCTTTGATAAAGCAAATATTTTTGGTATTTATCTGCATGATTGTAATAATACAAAATGTTTGCTTTGTATATTACAAAAATCATGCAGAAATGATATGTCATTTTATAAATTGGAATGAAAATTTGATTCCACAGCTATTCAAAATAAATGATCCACACATTTCAAATACATTCTCTATCAGTCATGTCATCGTTAGGGGCATTTCACAGCGCTACGACTAGTAAATGAAACATTCATTTAACATTCATGAAGCTTGCCATGCTTCTCTATCAGGGTTTTATTTCTATACTCTACCTCTCATCCTCGGTCAAAATGGTATTGTTTTCCATTGTTTTATTTAGGCAGATTATATAAAATTCAAACATCTATAATGTCTAGGGATGCAGAAAATGGTTTTAAAAACCTTGGTTTGCATCCCAGATATTTAAACAAAAGTTGATAAAACGCTATTTACAGGCAATTTCAAACTACAGTGTATATGGTCTTTCTGTGTCCCATACTTCCCCCAAATCATAGAATGAATAACAAATGAACATTGAAACTGATATTTTTCCATGATAATTTTGTCTGAACCCAGCTGTAGTAAAGCTAGCAATTTGATGCTACTATAGGGTGTACTACAATCTTTGATATGGTCAATAATGTATGGGACAAAATATGTTGGACTTGCTCATACAGTAATTACAATATATATTTTAAAAACAAGTTTAAAATGGCAAGTATAGTTTGAGCTTTTTAAAATATTTTGTTTTATGTGCAAGATTTTAGTAATGATACAAATTTGCCTTTTATAAAATAATCATGCAGAATTGATATACTTGATAGATCATATATCCAAATTTCTCTTGAATTAATTCCAATAGATTTAAATATTTACAAGTAAATTATTGAAATTGTTGTATTTAAACACTGTGAAATCAAATGGAGACATAATTAGGAAGACTAGATCATGATTACCGATATCGTTTCTGTGGATAATGTATTCAAGTCAGCATTTGCTCAAATATTTTAATGATGTTTTTAAATCTGTATGTCATTTAAAGGAGGACCATAATGCTCAGTGTATCAAATGTCTTAACTGAACAATTTGATATATTTTGTGGATATTTATGCACAAATGATGAAGTTATGTATGAATTCATGATATGTGTTTACTTGTATTTTTGTGTTCTTTCAAACAAAAAAGTTTAACAAAGTTAATATTGTGCTGAATATTATGTGAGGCTGTTTCACAAGTTATTCTATGTTCGTGTATATATGAAGCTACTAGTGTAATAGCATATCTACCTCATTTAGTGATACAGGTTTTGTACTTCTACGAATGTGTGTGGAGAACTATGTACATTATTCATGGCGATTGTGAACAATATGAATGTATAATATTGCACAAAACACTTGCCAAGGTTAAATATGCAGTTCATTTTTTGTTTGCATCTCTAGCTAGTCAATGTATTCATGACACCGTATGACTCACTGTAAAGTCAACAAAAGTTCAGGTGTAGTGATAGTCTTCATTTACAGACTCTGAACTTTTATCAGAAATAGACCAGTTTACTAACATATTCCAATTCATGGATGTATCTTTCCTGGGGACCTACTGATGAGTTATTCCATTAACCCGTTATTAATGAATGAACTACGATACTCAGGCTAGGCGTTGTGGCGTGCGCCTGTAATCCAGCTGAAAAGTGGAAGTTACAAACTGATTCAGCCGAGGACGCAGGTTCGAAACTGAGTCACGTCTTTCGGATGGTGACGTTTAAAGGTCGGTCCCAGACGTAAATAATCATATCTGATTGATACACGTCTGTAAAAACCCAATACACACACACACACACACACGATACTCAGATTCCAGTCTGCAGCGTACATTACTTATTGGTATGTCGGGCAAGCCTCAGGTGAGCTTTCAGATTGACATTGTCAAGAACAACTATTTTTAAAAGTATGCATAAAATTTGAATATGTTTGTAAACCGGTCTATTGATAGAAGTTGAATTCTTGTCAAATAACTAATACTGTTACTATATAAAGGCCTTACTAGTTCCAAATGTCAATATACTGGAAATAAATTAATCTAAATGATTTAGAGATAATATTTGTGTATGTACCACTAAAGCGTGAAGAATTCCTTCTATGGTTATTCCAATTTCTCTGGCTTCTTGAATAGTTCTGATACTGTCTTGTCATGAGAGTATATTTAATGCCCTTCTTACATTTTGTTGTGGATGTTTTTATTAATAAACTAGACTACAATAGTGCACTGTTGTCAGGTATATAATGTCAATGGGAGATTTTTTAGCAACTTTTCTGTTAATGAATATAGCCTTTCTTAAAGTCTGTGTGAAGTGTAAAGGGTTTATATAATCAATTTGCCATAATTAGGAATGGTCAGATAAAACAAAAAATGATGACACCAGTAATATTGTACTGTAGTTGATATCATAATTTGCACAATTGTACAGTGTATGGATGCACACATTTTATATATTTTTTCCAATATTGACAAATGTAACAGGGTAAATGTGTATCTTCCAAGTATTTTTAAAGTATTCTTGATTTTTATAGCACATGTAATTTTTTAGTGTAAATGTACACAAGTGATTTGCTGAATTTTCATTCTACTGTGAATAAGCTGAATTGAACTGATTTAACTGTAAAATAGCAATATGAAGTATATTAAACATGAATATGAACTATTAAATATATAAAGGATGTATGTATTTATTTGTTATTGATGTGACGAAAAAATAACATCATGCTTCAATCAAAGAGAGTTGTACCTCAGTCACATACCAAACCAACTCTGAACTTTCTTTGTAAGTATTGTTCAAGGGTAACCTTTGTAATATGTTCATTTGTATGAAATCAGAAAAATAAGACAACAGAATGGCAGAGGTTTGAAATAAATTGGACAAATAAGAAGAGTTTGGAATGATTGAAAAATTAAAATCACTAAATCTATACGAATATCAAATTGGCAATTCGGTCAGTGGATTGTAACATAGTCACAGACTACTCTTTTGTTTGTTGTATACCTAAATATCATTAATTTCTGTTTGTCTCCTTAGTGCCTTCTTCCTTTAGGGACATCTCGAAATATATTAGGTAGCATATAGTTGTAGGTCCTCTTAAAAGGAAAATCCCTTCAGAGTCATACATCTTGCAAAAATGACATTTTAGACATTTTGTGTGATGAAACAAATTGGAAAGTTGTTGAATACTACGTCACAGTGACAGTACGATGCAGCCAATTTGAAATACCCATACATATAGTGATTCCAGCTTCCAAAATTCTTATTTTTTGTCTGATTTCTTTCATACTTTTACCATTCTGCTTTATTTTAGGGTAGTTGTTTATTAAGGTTGGATTTACCTCGCATCATTTTCATTGGTGTGACAGTCCCTGTGACTGGGGTAGGAGATGGCTGTGAAGAGGAATGTATTACATGGAAGAGTAGGGTAAACGATAAAGGAATGAATCAGGAAAAACATGGAGAGGAAAAGTAGAAGGAAAACATGAAGAGGAAATGATGAGAGAATGATGATAATAATATGAGATTTGTAAGGCAACAAATCCTCTTGAAAGCAAATGCTCAAGGCCCAATTGTGAAACAAACAAAAAACAAACAAAAACATGGATCACATGAAAGCAGCTGCATTGTAAACAAAGGAACAGGAGTAAGATAGAACATAAGAAAACAAAGAACAATTAATTATTTATATGCCAAATTTAGACAGATACTTTTTCATAATTCTGACAGTTTCCTTTAATCTATATTTATTCCATCAGAACTCACAAATCCATAATTATAAAATACGTCAAAGGGGTCTTATTCATCAGCCTTTTGCAAGAACAAATATCACTCTGACCTCTTTCCATATCTCTTGCATCAAAGAATGGAACAGTTTGCCTGATGATATAAAAAATAGTACAACTCTTTCTAGGTTTAAAATGTTATCTAAAACGTATCTACTTGAAAGACTGACATAATTTTTCTTTGTATCTTAATAATTTATCATTCTGAAAAAATGCTTTTGACCACCAAGGACCTACTCATACGAGTGTGTGTGTGTGTGCTCTTGTAATGGGTGTAATTTATGAGGCTTATTCTTTCATTTAATTTTTTCCAAAAAATTTTGGTCAACAGCCGGACACCAAGGTTATGTACGATTCATTAATGTTCAAACGGCAATTAAAAACATTCAACACCCAGGATCAGTGAATGAAACACACTGAAAAATCAATTAGAGATATCATTCTCTCATTTTATTAAAAAAACATGGCAAAAATATGATAAATTGATATTTAAAAATACATGCGCTTCCCGTGTAACGTTTTAATGTCCATATATGGGCATTTTTCATGGCATTATGCGTGCTAGTGCAAAACAAAACCATGACGAGCCATAATGGATGGTTTGGTAAGATTCCTCACACTATTAGCATCACATTAATAATAATTGTAAACATTGTAGGGAAACCGATTTCATATTATCTCCAAATGAAGTTGAAGTCAGTAAAGGGTACCCTTGATCTCAGCCATGCACATATGTTATAGGTCAAAATGTGAAAGATCACAGGGTCATGGAAAGTGTAAAAGATCCCATATTATTATCTATATAAGGCTTCCAAGTGGTACAATACATCAGTGTATTTAATATCTTTAGCCCAGTACCCAGATGACGGATCAATATGGTTTTCGTCATCCGGGAACTTCAACTATCGAAATCGATCACACAAAAACAAAGCCATATTTACACAGGTAAGTCAAATATTCACTAGTCAACCTGATATAGATAACAATAATAATATTGTATGGCTTTGTTTTTGTGTGATACAAGAATATATTGCTCTTGCTATGACAATATATTCTTGTATCACACTCAAAGCCATATATAAATATCTCATTACTGTGATAACTTCACAAAAGTTGAACCATTGTTGACCAAACTGGGCTTGGGTATATGTATGTCTGTACGAGCATGAAAAGATGACATAGAATGTTTGGGTTTGTGAGGTCAGACCCTACAGGTCACATCATCACTGATGAACATACATATAGGAGGAGGCATATTAGAGACACAGTCCCATTTATCTAGTTTAATTATAATATTGGATATTTATATAATAATAAATAAATAATAATAAAAATGTTACTTATAAAGCGCTTACCACCAAAGTCTCTTAAAGCGCTATAACAAACAAAATAGACTGATAAACAATTACATATTAAACAAAACAAAAAAGTGCAAATAATATAGCGCGCATATCCACCATGCATGGTGCTCAAGGCGCTCCAACTATTACCCCGGCTCTGCTAGGCAGCCGATTTCAGCGCTCACAGCATTCAAGGAATTCCTTCCTTCCGGTACCTATTTAGTATTTAACACCTTTTGCACACAACAAATGGAGTAATTGCAATATACATGTACGATATGAAACATGAAGTCTTAAATGCCAATGTGAGGATATATATCATTATTGATCTCAACATTTAAAGGTCCATGATTTTCTACTCTTTATCTAAAATTCTACCTCAATTTCATAACAAAAATCAGTTCAATCATCAATAATGGTAGAGTACATGTACCTCTACTTGTAGGGTATTTGTATACATCTATGATGGCATACCACAGGACCTACATCTTGAGACTTTGTGACGGAAGCGCTCTTCATCATTAGATAATCTGAACACCTTCTTATCGAGTTCCTCAGCTTCGCGAAGAACTGTGCTTAAGCACAGTTTAACTGGAAAGAGTAGCACTGTCAGAGATGGTCGTTTAGGTTCGGTTTCATTTGTTTGCTTGTTTTATCTCACTGCTAAGAAGGCATGTATGTGCTTGTACTTGCTTGTACTTACAAGCAACCAAGAGACTAATAAGTCCTCTCTGAGGGACTTGGTAATGAGGACTATGCCTTACCCAAGGGCACTAGCATCGACTTGGTTTCAAACCTGGGACCACCCGGTAAAGAGACCACTGCTCTACCACTGAGCCATCACGCCTCCATTGAGAGACACAAGAAGAATGAAAGACAGAAATAAATTGATAATAGATTTTGTGATATAAGTGCAGATTGGGCTTGGCTAAGGTTAGAATCAGATCTTCTTCGAACATGCTCCAATGATGCAGTAAAAACATCCTTCCAATGTCTCCATTCACAAGTGGCAACATTACAGAAGCAACTTTCCAGACCTGCAACTTGGTCAAGCAAGCATTTAGTATTTGGATGACCAGATGTCTCCATCAGCACTATATAGGTTGTGGCCACCGTAATTGTTTCATTACTGCAACAAGTTGCTTTCTTCATGAGCATCTGAGGTCCTTTCACATCAGATCAAAATCATCCCTCTGCAATAGAAAATAAAGACATTATAGAGCCTGAGAAGTTTTGGGTGGGAAAGGTTTGAATAGCTTATCTTGGGTAAAATATTGTGCTGGTTCATATGGAACCTTCTCACAACGTTTGTGTTATTTTGGCCACTTTTTTGCCCAAAGTTACCATTAAGGTCACTTTTGTTCTTGGGTATATTTTCCAATTGTTTAAAGTGACTCGGTAACATCGTTAAAAGTGGATGAAAAAATTGCATAATTTTTGTATGAAATGTTACTTATTATATTCCTTCTACTGTACTAGCCCTCTAACATGCGAAAAATCTTGAAAATATTCTCGAACCACAAAGATATCTATGGTTTTCTTTGAAGGTGTCACTGTGCAACACCCTCTAACAGTGATTAACAGTAAATTCTTCCAACCATTTTTGAATTTTCCAATCATTTTTCCATGAAAAAAGGCATAAAACGGGCTTTTAAAAATCTTTCAACACTTAAATGTCTGGAATGGTGTATAGAGCCAATTCATTGCTTTGTGACGATTTGCATTAAACTAAAATGTAATTAGATTGTAATAATATAGTTGTGAGAATTAAGGTATATAAGGTTATCCTATGGATTGAAACAAGGTTCTGTGCACGCCTACCAATAGATACATTAGATTATTTTGAACAATGGCGCACAGAAACAAGAAGCATATAACTGTTAAAAGGATTTTAGACCGAAGAAGCACATCCATATGGCCTAACCCACATTCGTTCCAACAGCCCAAACTTGGTACAATGCAATTGTAACAATACTTTTTAAAGACCCTGGGACTCAGGCACACTTAGAAGAAATATCATAAATGGGGGGGGGGGGGGGGGGTATCATTGGACAGAAAACAAATTACACTCAAAATTTCATCATGAAATAGATTTCAAATTCATATTGGTTATGACTTTTTAATTAGGAATTAGCTACCAATAGACAGATTTGAGTATGGTTTGAATTAATACAAAGTATATCGAGAGCCAGAAGGGCATTGACTCTGTGTAAATCATAGTTTATGCCCTTCTGGCACTCAACAGATAGCATCATGTTTAAAACATTACCTCCTCATTGTATTCAACAATGTGTTTCTTGATCTTTGATGTATCTGTCCACGTTACAAAATCTTCCATCGATCTAATTAAACACAAAAAAGAAGAACAACAAGAAGAAAAGGGTTTTTGAATATTATAAATTTCTCTACATTTGGTAATTGATGGCAGAAAGTTTTTCCACTTCTCTAGCTCAAATCTCTATATCATCATTATCATCAAGTACAAGGTCTGTAAACAGACATCGGCAGCTATAGCCCTTTATGTGTAATAAAGATTATATAAAATATGTTTATTTTTCTCATAACCCAGGACATCAGACTTTTCCCCTTTATGTATGATTTGAAAGAAAGAAGATAATATGAAGTGCATGAGATTATCATGGAGATGAGTTTTAGATTTATCATGGTCATAATAGTACTCAAGTAAAGCTGATAAATGAGGTCAGTGGGCTAAGCTATTTTTTGAGGAACACTTTTTTTTTTGAGAGGGGGGGGGTGGTTGTTTGTGTGTTGTTTTTTGTTTTTTTGTTAGTTAGGGGGACAGGAGGGTGTGAAAAGATTCCTGCATTTGTCCCTTCAACGGTTTGGTCCACATACCTCATATACCATGAATAAGCCAAATTTTTCCTTCATAAGCAAAGATTTTAAAAATATATGCTTTTTGTCCATAAAACAAAAAACAAAACATGGCCAGTGATTGTACAAAAAACAAAGAAATGAAGGCTTCGCCATTGATTCAAGATTTGATTATTCGAATAGGCCCATACAACAGCACACATCGATTATTTCATTATTGAACATAGTCAATGAAATGACTACTTGAATAAACCCAAATAAAGAATGATTTACAAAATCAAAGCATTAAACTTCTACCTTGTTTTTACAATTATTATTGTGACTCCGATCACAGATTTGAAATGAATTCCATCACAACACCCTCATCATCAAACACAACATCGTCATCACACCATACACAATATTTAGGCAAATACCATGTATGGTGTGAACCCGATTTTTGTTTTTGGTCGCCTAGCCTGTCTAATTGTCATGTTGTTTTGTCGTATTTGGTGCGCAGAGTTCTTCATAATAATAATAATAATAATAATAATAGTTTGTTCTTTTACCACGCATTACGAGTGATTCTTCATTTTAACAAGACCCATGATATCAGTGGTACATTCATCTTGGGATTGTTGGCAGAGCTGTGAAAACTGTTTTCTTTTCTAACCATTTAAATCGCCTTTATTATCCTGTTTCCCCCTAAAAGGACAAGATTACCTAATATGTAATTTAAATGTCAATTGCATTTTCTGTTAAATATGCATAATTTGAAAGTTAAATTCAAAGAAATCTACACAGAATGCTACAGGGGATGTACATCCCTACTTCTTCTTTGGTTGAAATTGATCTTTGAACCTGTGTCGCACTGTAAATATCATTTTAAAACTAATAAATTCTTTACAAGTCCGGGCCACCCCCCCTCCCTTTGGTTCCACCACTGACAGAAACAATAAAGAGGGTGTTAAACCCCCCCCCCCCCCTCTGCGTATGTTTAAAAACAATTGTACCTGGTAACAAGGAAGGCTGGGTCTAAAACTAATTCTGGTCCAACCCTAATATCTGAAGAAAGTTAGTCAAGGAAATGGACTGACATAAAATAGACACACAGATTTCCAGGCATCCTCATATTTAAGATGTGAATCAGAATGAAGCCCCCATGAAAATAAGACAAGAAAAAGTGGGATGGAAACACATCACAATGAAGAAAAAAAAGCCTATAATCAAATATCAATCGAGAACTATGATCTTGACATACTAGCCTCAAACTGTAGCTGGATCATCTTTTTATAGTAATACTGTAACCTGATTTAGATATTGTGATAGCAAGGCTAAAACCTTTTCATTTCAGAAATGGACCTCTGTGACCTTTGACCTACTTCCTTTAAGTTTAATGAGACTTTCTTTCTATCCTGATATAAACTATCAAGTTTGAGGTTGATACCTCTAAGGCGTTAAATAAAAAGATGTTGTATAGCCCTTTGCTACCGACCCAAAAATCTTAAAATCTATGGTCGGCTTTTTGAGACCATTTTTTTTAAAAACCATTTTTTAGAAAAACAAACATTTAATGAATAACAAAATATGTATTTTGTTTGTTTAACAAGATATAAATGCATAAAAGAATCAAATTATTCCCAAATTCTCACTCGTCTTCTGCCCTATTTTCAAAATCCTGCTAGCGTAAACAAGTAGACCCGGCCTCGTTTACGTGTATATACCATGCACCAGCTAGAAACCAGCTAGGGTACTAGTAATAATATCCAAAGCTCTTTGGAAGCGCATAAGAGATGTTATTTCATAACGTATCATGCGCTATACAAGAACTGAATATTTTATTATTTGGGCAACGGTTGCTGTTTTGAAGGGAAAAAAAAAGTTTAAAGAAATGATATCCATCCAACCGACCCAGGTTCTGGCACCTAAAGGGCAATACCACATCTTTTTGTTTAGACCTAATGGTTCTTAAGATATCGCGATAACAAGGATAAATATCTTTAATTTCAGAAATTGATCTCTATGACCTTTGACCATTGACCTTCTTATCACAATGTTTGAACCCTATATCTCTAGTTGTTCTAGAGATATCGAAATAGCAAGGCTAAAACCTGTAATTCCAGAAATTGACCTCTGTGACTTTTGCTCTATTTACCCAAAATCTGACCACATCATCTTCCTATTGTGATACATGATAACCCTCATATATCTAGTGGTTCGTGAGGTATAGCAATAACAAGGCTAATAGCTGGAATTTATGAAGTTGATGTCAGTGACTTTTGTCCTACTAACCAAAAATCTAATCAGATCATCTTCCTATTTTGATACATATTACCAACAAGTTTGAGCCTCATATCTCTAGTGGTTCTTGAGATATTGCTATAATGAGGCCAATACCTGGAATTTAATAAGTTGACCTCTGTGATATTTGACCTACCGTAGCTACTCCAAAATCTAATGAGATTGTCTTCCTATGGTGATACATATTTTCATCAAGTTATAGTTCATATCTCAAGTGGTTCTTGAAATATCACGATAACGAAAGTGGGACGGACGGATAACGTAATGCCTCCAGCACCATGCACCTTCGGTCGGCCTCCGAAAAGGAAAATAAGAATTACTGTATAAGCTGTTATTTTCGCGAGGGTTTTATTTTCGCGAATTTTCGCGAATTGCAAATTA